AGTTTAATAATGAAATAATTTATTTTTGATTTAATAATATAAATTTTTATAAATATAATAATTAAGTATTCTGTTAGAACTCAATAATTATCCTAATTATATTTTAGATTTTTTATATTTAAAATGAAATGTTTATCCTGTATTTGATTATGTTTATCCGCAGTTAGTTACACGAATCCAGATATGGAGCTTTAATAAGTTGTATTTACGCACAATCTACTTGCAATCTTGAGTTTTAAGTAATATGCATTAATAAACAGTACTTTATACATAAAAGTGGGTTTTAAGAGTTTTTGTCAATGCTTTATAATATAGTATAGATATAGATAAAGATAATAATTAAGTATTATGTTAGAATTCAATGATTATCCTAATTATATTTTAGATTTGTTATATTTAAAATAAGATTTTTATCCTGTATTTAATTATATTTATCTGCAGTTAGTTACACGAATTTAAACATGGAGCTTTAATAAATTGTACTTACGTACAATTTACTTGTAATCTTGAATTCTAAGTAATATGCATCAATAAACAGTACTTCATGTATAAAAAATAGTTTTTAAGAGTTTTTGTCAAATGCTTTATAATATAGTATCTATAAATTGCTTACAGCATAAGCACTTATGGGTAAGAGTCACAAATGTCATTAACCTTATCGGGTAATATTATTCGCTATGAAAGTGGCAACATATATGCACCATCTGATTATACGGAAATTGTTTACCGGGTAAGACTCTCGTTTTTTGCCTTATATTTACCGGGTAAAATTCTCGGCCCTAGCCATGTTTATCCGAAAATCTAAATGACTCAGCAAGCGTTTGGTAGACAGCCTCCAAAATCTACAATTTCAGTTCAACAAGCTAAGTCGGAAAAAATTTATTTGTAGCGGGATGGCTCTAATATCTGCAAAAGTCGCGTTTTTTATTGAATTAGAGTAGGTGCATTTTTCCAATTTATTTCCTTATTCTGTCAACYATTTAATTATCATGCATTTATATAATTACAATCTCACTTGACATTCTTTAGCAAATACATCTACTTTAATCTCATCTTTGAARTTTTCTTAATGYAYTAAAAGAAATGGCGGTGAAAAATTCTAGTAAAAAATGTTATTCAATATAATCGGTCTCAAACTTGTACCGTTACCCAAGACTAGTTCCAATATGTTTTGATTATATATATATATATATATAGAGAGAGAGAGAGAGAGAGAGAGAGAGAGAGAGAATGAATGTGTTAAAACAAGAACAATGGCCACATATGAAAACACGAGAACGGTAATCGGGTGAGACTCTCGGTCGTAGCCATGTTAATCCGATAATTTAAGTAACCCCGTAAAGTAAAGTTTGGTAAACGGCTCCTAACTCAATCTACCAAGTTCAACCCAAAACTATTTATTTCCTTATTCTATCTACCATCTAAATTATTGTACATTTATATAATTACAATCTCGCTTGACTTTCTTTACCGTAGTT